ACTATGCAAGCAATTACAGTGAGCACATAAAAATAAATTTTTGATCAAAACTTGGGAGTTGTTTGGCCGCTATTAATGTACTTCAGGAAGCCTCCTCGTCTGATGTTATGTGTCTATCCGGCTGGGCTAACTCCTAATTAATCATCTACAAATTATTAATATCACAGAGGAGAGCGGAAAGAGCAACTATCAAACTAAAGGACCACGGCGTAATTCTGCGATGGAAAAGCGTATAGAGAAATGCTATAGATCACTAGCAAGTTGAGCACTGAAGAGCAAAGTTTCAGTGGCAGCGTCGACTGAAAGGCTGCCAAGAATGGGTAGCAGTGAAACGAGTCAGCACTGATTAGGGGACAGAAACTGCACAAACCTTGTCGGGATGGCTTTGTATGGAGAGTGCCTTATTCACGGAGAGCACTTTGAACAAAAACTGAAGTGTTCCACCTTCGTGAGCTCCCAGGGATGATTTTGCGATTGCAATTTCTTCGGACAACAGTTTCCCGTTCGAAGCAATTTTAGATGGCCCATTGGGATGCACACCCATCCAAAGCTGAAACACTAAAAACACATGGGAAAAAGAAGAAGCCCAGATCCGCCCAGGGCAATGATAATCTTTCATTTCAACGCCACGACGCATTTCGGTAAGTATTTCGAATAGGTATGGTATGCGGTACTTTTTGGCATATTTTTTAACAGCAGTAATTCCAACTGCCACCAACTTGCTTACAAGTAACTCTCGAAAGAGGGACCGGCGACAGTGTTGCCAGCGGGTGGCTGATGCTGGAATTTGCTATGAGCTGTTCCCCAAGTCTCTTTGTTTCTCACTGAGAGGGAATACGGAAAGATTTTTGAGTTTTTATTTGGAATAATTCCAAAAGTTCCCAAGCTCGAAGTTCAGAGGTTCCAAAAGATAGAGAGAGGCGTGGTGAACTTTTTCCATCATTCTTATTTCAGCTTCTGCTCAGGGTGAGCGCTAGCATCTTACGAACCACTCTGACGAGAGGAATTCTGTTCAATTCTAATGCTGCTACAAGCACAAAGAACTTTACGGTTTATTCAACTTGAAATGGTCTCCCATTCCACAAAAGCCTCCGAATCTGAGTGAAAAATAGCCATCACCTGTGAGTTCTGAAAGTGCAAAACAAGCTAATCAAGTGCAATGGATCCGGAAGAAAAGGCAGGCAGAGCACCTGTAAGATCGCCTACGCACAAAATTTCTGGTTGCAGCGACGCTGCGACAGCTCGGCCCATAAAACTGTATAAGTTTTTTATCAGTGTTCCTCGACTGCTGCAACAGTTGCACATGAGAAAAACAAACCTCAGCGTAGGGCTTTTTTTCATCGATAACGAAATGTGTGTCGGCTGCACGTTTCAAATTTGCCACCTCACTGGCACTGCCCGGGCGACCCCAGTCGTATGTCTGTACCGCACAGACCAGCTTCTTCATTACCACTTTTCTAAAATTTACATCCCTCTACACTGTGTTCGTTAAAACAGAAAAAACCAGGCTGGAACGCAACAGGCTTGCCGGTTTGATCATGCATTTTTGCAGTAGACTTGTAACAGTCAGGTCGTTAACCGCATGAATGGTTGCTGCTTTATATTTACCCTGTATACTTATTAGTGTAAATGATCGTATATCTTGTATAAAGGAAAACGAATAATTTCTGCTTGTTTTTTGAAGGTGAGCTAATTGTTAGTGAACAATTTTCCCGCAAAAATTCACATGCCCGTACGTGAGAAACACGCAGAACTGGAGGCTGAAAAATCTTTGAGTTATACGTGTTATACAGGGAACATTCTCTTAAAAATTTTAGCTTTCCACCTTCTCTGATTTCCGAGATTGCTTCCCGACAAAAAATCTGCATAATTTTTCGAGGCCTTTACAAGTGGGAATAATAGTATTAAAACGGGAAGGTAAAACAGCGGCTAGACAATAATCCCAAAGTTCCAGCATTCCGAATTTTCTGATTCCAAAAGTGGGTGGCAAAATGTGGGAACACACAGACACAGCTACAGGCACACAGCCTCTTGCCAATACACGTTTTTATGCGTTTTTTGCAGCTATGCAATGCGGAAAACGCATACTGACGAGAGATTGTCTGTGTGTGTCTATATGTGCGCTGGGCTTCTGTACAGACTTTTCAACTCAAGACCTACAAAAGCTACAGGGCTGAAACCTTGGGGAATTAATCTACATGCATGTACGGGCCCCAATTCCCAAAATGGTTGCCATTATCCACGTAAGAGCCCGCCAAAATATATTACGGGCAAGTTCATAACTCGGGGGTCTGAGAAGCTAGAAAGCTGAAATCTTAAGGGAATGTTCCTCGTCCAAATAGGTATTAATGAGCTCAAACTCATCTCCCGGGTAAGCGTGGTACCTGTATGCTGGCCCGCCAAATTTTTTTCTGGGCAAGTTGGTAACTCGAGTACCTGAAAAGCTAAATGATTGTAATTTTAAGAGGATGTTCCCCGCCCACGTAAGTGAACGAGCTCAAACCCAGAAATCAGGTGTGCCTAGTACTCACGTACGCGCCCGTGAGATTTTTTTTCAGTAATTTGCTACGTCAGGAGCCAGGAAAGCTAGAAAGCTGAAATTTTAAGGAGGTGTTTTCTGACAGTTCTGGCGGCCAGTCTTAATTCGTTTAGCTAGAAGCATTTGCCGAAAAAAATCGGTGCCGGCCGCGAAAAAAACTGCAGGGAACTATGCAAAAAACGCATCTTCACACGGGCAGCCTGTGAGTTGGCCAATTATTGCTAACTGTAACAATGCTGTAACGCTGCACAGGAAAAACGCATAAAAAGAAGCATTTGGAACTTGAATTCGGAGGAGATATGGATCTTTCCTATATCTTTCTTCAACTGTTAGGGTAAATTTCTATCATTTTATGACTGATTCAGTAACATTTGCCGTACAGAGATAAAAATGAAATGTAAAATGAATGGAGTGGATCTTCGTGTTTAGTTTCCCGCCTGTCCTACTAATCGGTCAACGATGGGGTTTTCTCACTGTTCCAAACGTCAACTTATTTTCCGTTTCATTTATTCATTCACTAAGCAGCACACAAACACACATACACACACAGACAGACACACACAAACATACTTTTATGCGCACACTGCATGCGTTTGAATATAGATAAATAGCAACGCGTACCAGACTAGGCCGTGCGATCATGCGTTTTGTGCAGTTTCGCCTACCGAACGACTGCCTATTAATGATTTTCACTGATCTGTACTTTAATCTTCACTGCTTTGTACTTTAATCTGTGTTGAAAAACAGTTAAAAATTTCACGCACAGGCGCATGAAAGCTGAATTTGAAACCTTGGAGGGTGAATATCCTTCCGTGATTCCTGAAATTATAGTTTACCCGCCAAAATTTTCTGGAGGCCGTAAGTGATACCCAAGAGCGCGGAAACGCTGAATTTGAATTTGAAGGATCGTACGGGGGCAAAGGATCATTACCCTAAAATTCAGCTTTGCAGACCCTGCGGTTCCCGAGATAATAATTTACCCGCAAAAATTTTCACTAACCCGTAGGTGATACGCGAGGGCGCGGGAACTCTGAATTTGAATTTGCAAGATCGTTTGTGGGCAGAAAGTCACAACCGTAAAACTTCAACTTCCTAGACTCCGTGATTCCCGAGATAATAATTTACCCGTCAAAAATTTTTACAGCGCCGTAAATGTTAGCGGCAGGCAGGGGAAAGCTGAATTTAAATTTTCTTGGTAGCACAGGGGCGGGGGATAAGCCCAGAAAATTCCAGCCTTCCAGCTCCCGCGGTCTCTGTGACAATAATTTTACCCACCCAAACTTTTACGGGGCCGTATGTGCTACCCGCGGTACGGGGAGGCTGGGTTTAAATTTGCGGGGTCACACGTGTGTGGGGAACGTTCT